CTCTGGGCGTTGTCTCTGTCACCGTGCTGACCACACTGGATGGCCTTCCCATGGGGTCTGGGCACATGAGAAGCTTCTCAAGGGCAGAGATAGTGTTCAGTCTTCTTCTAGGACCAGAGCCTGGGGCAGCAGGGAGCAATCAGGAAGTGCTCTCTCTATACTGTGAGCTGAGCTGATTGCAAGTCCGATCTGGGAGCCCGCCTGAGTCAGCCTTCCTGCCCACGGCGCAGAGCCCACGCTTGACTCCCAGCCCCTCCACAATGCGATGACCTCTGAGGATGGCTGTGCGCCAGCCCCTGACCAGACCCGGGGTGGGGCAGAGCGGGTGTTAGACCATCAGCTCTCCAAAGGTGGCAGTCAGAGCTCTAGCAAATAACTCTCCTGACACATCTACCTGACGTGAGTCTGAAATTTTCACAATTACACAATGCCCGGCCAAGTGCTAATTTCTGAGCTTCCTGCCAAATCTTACCAGTCTCTCAGAGGGAATGTGTTTCCTAGCAGGGAGCACAGAAGCGTTGGGAGTTATTCTGGGCCCTCATAAAACTCTTCTTGGGATTTTTTTTTTTAAATATATTTTATCGATTTTGTACAGAGAGGAAGGGAGAGGGAGAGTCATCGATCAGCTGCCTCTTGCACACCCCCTACTGGGGATATGCCCGCAACCAAGGTACATGCCCTTGAGCGGAATCGAACCCGGGTCCCTTTAGTCCCCAAGCCGACGCTCTATCCATTGAGCCAAACTGGTTTGGGCTGTTCTTGGGATTTTTATAGAGTGGCTCAGTGATACACTCCCTGGAAGAGTATCACTGCTCGTGGAAGAGTTTCTTACGGAACCTCCCTCGGTGCTGTGCGGGCAGGGCCTGTCAGAGGAGAGACAGCTCCGGGTAAGAAACGGGCCCATAAGACCCACTACCACGTGTTGTCCTTTTCGGCGTTAGGCAAGCCTTTTCTGAACTCTAGCCTTATCTCTGTGAGGACAGGACCTGTGCGAGGTGCAGGGCTGCATGTCCTCCAGAGCTATTTTGCTCAAGGTTGCTTCCCTAGGGCTAGCATTACCTGGCACACAGGAGGCACCGGCTATGAGCCGGTGATGGGGAATGGGAAAAGAAGACACGTGGGGAGTGGGCCTGGAGCGGCAGGGGCTGGCTCATCTGCAGAAGTGCAGAGCTAAGAGTGAAAACCAGAAAGCACCACGCCCTGGCTTCCCACCTACACCGAGGTCCCAGCACGGCCGCCTGCTTCTGCGCTCCGCAGTAGGGCGGGGGACATCCGGCCCGGGGGCCGTATAAGGCTCCAGAAATCACCTGGTCTGGCCCTGCCAGGGCATTAGGGGTAAGAGGAATGAAGTGTTTGACCAAATATAGCCAGCTAATATAGTCAGCGGCATGTACCTTGGTTGCGAGAATATACCCAGTAGGGAGTGTGCAAGAGGCAGCTAGCTGATTGATGTTTCTCTCTCATTGATGTTTCTAACTCTCTATCCCTCTCCCTTGGTCTCTGTAAAAAGAAAAAAAAAAATCAATAAAATATATATATATATATATTTTTTAAAAAGAGCCTAAACCAGGACAGTGATTATGAAGATGGAGCCACAGAATCAATAGTACATACTGAGGAAGCCGATCTGAGAAATACTTAGGCGTTAAAAATCACCAGGACCCGATGACTAACAGTATCGGGTTGTGGGGCAGGAGTGGGGTTGAAAAGGAAAGAGGTAGCATAGAAGAAATAAGTCCAATATGTTAGAATTGTATGACGTCTAAAGAAATCTCCTGGAAGAAGCTCCAGGAAGATGAAAACATGTGGATCAAAATAAGACTTCCTCTGGGCCATCTTTGAACCAGGAGTCTGCTTTGGAATTGGTTATTTCTGCAGAGCAGACACCCGTACCGGCCCTGGGGAAGCAATTATAAAACCGACTGCGCTGTCCGCTGCACCCACAGAGGCGGAGGGAAAAGGCACGGGCCTTGTGGGTCCCCCCCGCAGCCCACGGTGAGCCTTTCCCGCCAGCGTTCTGAATTTGTCACAACGGGGTTGCTTTCATGTGACTTTAAAGTGAGCTTTCAGAAGCAGAGCAGCAAGAACAGCAAGCCAACACAGATGGGCTGCTGGAAAGAGTGGGCTCGGTTAATTTTTGTAAAAATAAAAGGTACCTTTTCTCAAGGAAAAGAATAAGATGGGCTTTTGCTCATGCTATTTGAAGAGGCAAAGGACCTCGTCAAAGCGTTCTTTTTTTTTTTTTTTTTTTTTTTCTCGATTCCTTGTCTGCAAATAAAGAGCAGCAAAATTAAAAGAGAGAAAGAGTGCTACCCCCCTACTCTTTCTTCATAGTTCATATTTTCTCCTTAGCAATCTTTCCCCCACTTCCTGGGCACCGTAGATCCTTGGTTGCTGGGGTTTTGCAGTGACATAGATGTTTAGGGCTCATCCTGTGCCAGAGCTCTCCTGTCTTTCCCTCCGGGAGTCTTCCTCAGGCAATCTATCTCTTCTAATTTTGCTGCTCTATATTTGCGATCAAAATTAAAGAAGAGTAATTGATACTCTTTCTAATTCCTGCTGTTATGCGCTATGAATGCCGTGAGGACACACGCTTAGCTCCGCCCCGTGCTGTCTGCGGGACATCAGCAATGTCTTGCTGGGCAGGCTGCCCAGGTCGCCTCTCAGTCTCGCCTGCTGTGTAAGGCGAAAGGGTGGAATGTGGTATTTGCCATCCTGGGAACGAATCTGCCCCCGGAGAGACAGAGGGCTGCGTTTTCCCACCTGCGCACAGTCAGCCAGCTTCGTAGGAACAGGGCACTGGGAACCAGTTTCCCCTTTTGCCACAGGAGGGGTACTGGGTCCTGGTCCCGAAGCTAAACTGCTGGCATGGCAGCCCAGGGGTCTGGGCCTGGAGCGCTCTCCTCTCTGTGGACATCCCTTACATACCTGTCCTTCCTGGTACATGGCTTCCAGGAGTTCCAGCTCCGGGAAACTACAGGGACAGCCCTGACAACAACAATAACCACACACACACACACACACACACCCCTGCATGCACGCACATGAGCAAGAGGACTGAAGATGCCCAATAACGGAGTGTGTGCCCATCCTAAGTAGCAGCAAATGCTTTATGGCCTGCAGTTTGTTTTTAAGTGAGGAAAACAACTGCTTGGAAGAAGCAAACTAACTGCCAACATGCAAGCCCAGCCTGACAGCTCAGCTGCAAACCTTGCTCCTGGTTTGCGGTGAAATGAGCCCTCGGCCTCGCAGATGGAGGCCCTCTGTCTGAAACTGCAACACGGCCAAGAGGCACCTGAGAGCAAGGACACTGTGCTCAAAACACCACTGCCGACTCAAATAAAGACGCGCCCAGCTCATCGCCTCTACTTATAAGCTGCTTAGCTCGTTTTCTTCCTTATCAGTCACAGAACAGCCACCACCACGTGCAGTTTGCAACGTACAGTTCGAATACATCGATTCTGCATCCAGGACAAGACGGGCCAGCTCACTCAGGCCCGTCTACGGAGCTATGTCAACACCAAAAGATGGTACATCGCCAAGACAAATAAATATAAGGAAGCCTTCAAAGCCAGCCCTGGAGCCAGGAAAGCATTCAACACGGTGATGCCAAACATTTGGATCCATGTGTCCCGATTTCCCATTCTCACTCTAATTAGTTTCATAGTCACTGCATTTATGGGAGTTCCTAATTCCTGCTGTTAACTGAAGTTGCTGTTTCGTATGCAGGCTCACATCCTTACCTTTCCCCTCCCACACATTTGATCCATAAACACAGCCATGGTTTTAAAGAGGCCAACGTAGAACAAAAGGTCTCACCTGAAGTAAGGCCGGTGCCCAGTAAACTTAAAGCAATGTCTTGCTTAATGCCCTGGACGTGTGTGTGTGTATGTGTGTGTGTTTAAATTTTGAAAGAATTTTAGCGGTAAAAATAGTATGTCTTTGTGTATCCACCACCCACCTTTCTCTAATGTTACTCTCTTACATGGCTGTGGTATAATACAAGATCACGACTAAGAAGTTTAGTATGGGAACAGAACCGTTAACCAAACCATGGACCTCACAGGAATGCCACCGGGGTTCCCTAACGCCCCTTTTCAGCCTGGGGATCCACGCTGGAACCCCGCGCTGCATTTTGTTGTCACGTCTCCTCGGTGTCTCCTCTGGGACCGTCCTTCAGTCTTCCTTTGACTTCCATGGTGTTGATGCCGCTGCAGGGTTCTGCTCAGTTGTCCTGTGGTTGGGCTCATGGGATGTCTTCTCCTGGCTGGACTGAGGTCATGCCTTTTTGACGGGATGCCACACGAGTGGTGTGCTTTTTCAGTGCGGCGTAGGAGGGGGAAGGCAGTGCCTAAATGTCTCAGGTCTGGTGACATAAGCCTTGTGTACACGCGCATCCATGAAGTCTGATTTGGGCAGCACCTCGCTTCCCCTTTTGACACTCTGCACTCCCAGTTCCACCCTCTCTACCACCCCCCGTCCCCCAAGCTGTGTCCCAGAGGTGATATATCTGCATTTGTCCTGCTCAGGCAACAACTCATCCCACCCTTCCCTCTTCTATCGAAAACCACGGTTTCTTATCAGGGCCCCGCATTATTGAGGTAATGTTCAGGTAACTTCATCTCTGCTAAGGTGCTCACAAGCAACAGTTGTACATTTTACTTACTTACTTTTTCAGATTCACATTTTAGTAAAGAACTTCTGGAACCTAAGGCTCGGCTAGGATGGCCACAGGACCCCATGTGTTTGGGACTGTCCCCGTGTATGCATGTTGCCCTGGCTCAGTCAGTAACAGCACCTCCTTTCTCTCTCCAAAGGGTCCTGGTTTCTCTGCCTAATAATATGGCCACCCAACCTAAACCAAAATAAATGACTAAGCATGGCAATCACAGGCATTTTGGTAGGCCAACAGGGAAAATAAATTCAGGTAAATGACGTTTCGGTGTTTCTCGAACTGCCCCCTAGCTCTAGGTTCCTATACAAAGTAAAAGTTCACCAACCTGTAGGAATCAGGGTTTCGTCCACAGGCAAAAAGGCATCTGCTTCTATGGTGACTTCGTGGTCATAAATATTTGGGGAACCCTGGGAAGGAAGAGGGAGTCCTATTAAAGCTTAGTCCTCGTTCATATATTTGCTTTATAACTTCTCTTGCAGAAACGTGTCCAGGCATTGACAGAAATATAAGACATCCCTTTTAAAAATATATATATTTTATTGATTTTTTTACAGAGAGGAAGGGAGAGGGATAGAGAGTTAGAAACATCAATGAGAGAGAAACATATATCAGCTGCCTCCTGCACACCTCCCATTGGGGATGTGCAACCAAGGTATATGCCCTTGACCAGAATTGAACCTGGGACCTTTAAGTCCACAGGACAATGCTCTATCCTCTGAGCCAAATTGGTTAATTTTTTTGCCAATTTTTATTATCTTTTATAAATATATTTTATTGATTTTTTTACAGCGAGGAAAGGAGAGGGATAGAGAGTTAGAAACATGGATGAGAGAGAAACATCAATCAGCTGCCTCCTGCACACCTATTACTGGGGATGTGCCCACAACCGAAGTACATGCCCTTGACCGGAATTGAACCTGGGACCCTTCAGTCCTCAGGCCGATGCTCTACCCACTGAGCCAAACCGGTTTTGGCTAGACATCCCACTTGGCCTCTGAGATGGCTGATACGTTCCTTTAAGTGTGGGTGGACAGGGCCTCAAAACAGCAACTGATACATTTGGGAGAAGCTTTCAAGCCTGACCCCAGCATGCATGTTCTTCACTAAATGAAAGTATAACGGTGCAAAGTCAGGGAGACACCAGTAGTCTGAATGCAGTTTGGATTTTGACTTACTAGGAGAGGGTTTTTTTCCACCTTCCTCACACACCGGGAAAAACAGAAGAGCAAGGGTCAGTGACCCGCAGCCCACAGGGCTGGATGGCCACGGCCTTGCCTCCGGGCTCACCAGAGGTGGGGCACGTCACCCTTCCTCTGGCCCAGCACGCAAGATTTTAGAAATCTTGAGAATCTATGTCTAAACACAACAGAAAGTGTTTTACTTGACCTACTAAGAAGGTCTGTTTCTGAGGAACATTTCTGGTAGCCTGCTGGCAGGCACATGCTGGGCAGGGCAGGGATCGGTGGCAGGGCGGGCTGGGTCAGAGCGTTCCCATCTGCTTACACCATTGTAGCCACTTGTTTGGCCCCTGCTCTGACCTGGGAGGGCAGGTCCAAGATGGAAGGGGCCTAGGGCAGCTGTAGAGCAGAGGGGTCATCGCCTGTGTGGCTCTCCCTACTGCCATCCGCTCATGGCTCAGGGTACAGCCAGCCCCAAGCAGGCCTCTGGGACCGAGGGGTGTTCTCTTCCCTGATGAGGGAAGAGAATCTGAGACTGTGTCCTTGGCTCTACCTGTTCAATGCTCAGCTCAGGTTTGAGTAGTATCCCATTACGTGAATACATCACAGCTTGTTCACCTGTTCTCCTGTTGACGGACTTTGGAGTTGTTTCAGTTTTTTCTATGACGAATAAAGGTGCTCAGGGATTTCCTTTTTCTGTTGGTTTGTTAACAATAAGGCAGAAAGAAAATGATTCTCTACGAAAATCACACACCAAATACACTGGTGAGTCTGAGGTGTTAGCAAGAAGCCAGGGAGGGGAAGGAAAAAACCTTTATCAGGCACCACTGAGTCTTACTGGTTCCCGGGTCACTGAGCAGCACCAGCATTCCTTCCCTGGAGGGAAGCATGCTTCACTCTGTGACTCCTCTGATGGGGAATGATGCAACGACCCACTCTGGTGGTAAATTTCTGTTGGCTTCATTTCCTTCCAGGCGGATGAAGACTTGGCAAGTAGGGCTGATGCACAAACAGAACTCGAGGTCCATCCCTGAGCTCAGTGTTTGTTTTGGTGAACTTGGCTTGGCCATGACTGGCCTGTAACATTAACCATGTACAGAGTACATTGTGGCCTGCGTGGGCTTTAAAGACTTCTTTTGTGTGTTGTCACTACCACTGCCTTCATTCAGCTCCTATCTCTAGCAGGAATAACAGCCACCAGTGGTTACTAACCAATCAAGCCATAGCAACTGCCTTCCCAGCACCCTCCTCTCCCCTGGCAGAACCCTGGCAGGTTGCTTTACCCTGTGCTAGGTTAAAGCATTCTACCCTGACCCCAGAGGGCTAATCCTGATTGGTCTAAGCCCGTGGTCGGGAAACCGAGGCCCGCGAGCCACATGCGGCTCTTTGGCCCCTTGAGCGTGGCTCTTCCACAAAACACCACGGCCTGGGCGAGTCTCCTTTGAAGAAGTGGCATTAGTAAAAGTTTAAGTTTAAAAAATTGGGCTCTCAAAAGAAATTTCAATCATTGTACTGTTGATATTTGGCTCTGTTGACTAATGAGTTTGCCGACCGCTGGTCTAAGCCAATCCGTGTGGTCTAATTCCCTTGTTGGTGATTGGGTTGAACAGGGCACAGAGCACACTTTTGGCCAACAAAATGTAGGAAAAGTCTGGAGGGGAGTTTCTGGGGAAAGTTTTCCTTGTTCTTAAAAATGGAACGCGAGAGAGATGAAGGAAAAGGAATAGGTCCTTTTTTGTCTCTAGAAGTGACTATAGGCAGAGGTGATTTCTAGAGCTGTGACAACCATCTTCTGACCATGAGGGGACAGCCTGAAGGCAAAGGCCACAACACTGGAGAAGCAGAATAGAAAGACGGAACAGCCCTAGCCGGTGTGGCTCAGTAGATAGAGCGTCGGCCTGTGTATTGAAGGGTCCCAGGTTCGATTCCAGTCAAAGGCATGTATCTTGGTTGCGGGCACATCCCCAGTAGGGAGCGTGCAGGAGGCAGCTGATCAATGTTTCTCTCATCAATGTTTCTAACTCTATCCCTCTCCCTTCCTCTCTGTAAAAAATCAATAAAATATTTTAAAAAATAAAAAAAGAAGAAGAAAGAAAGACAGCAGAACCTGGGTCCTTGATGACCACCTCCCCAGCCATCTGGAGCCAGCGTTATTTTCCATCATCTCCCGGTCCCCTAGGCCTGCTTTCATTGCTCTTTAGGTAAAGTTTCAGCAAGAAACATGTTCTCCCAGTTTTGTGTTAGACAAAATCAGGAACAGCAGAAAAAGGAGAAAACACAACCAACGTACAACCCACATAACTTTCCCATACTCTGAAAAACATAGTCCCCCCTTCCTCCCAGGCCCCAACACTCAGACTTAGAAGCGATGAGTCAGAGCTTGGCCCCAAGTAGAACAAACAACATCCTATTAAATTTACTAGCAAAGAAAACAAACAAAAGGAGAAAATACATAAGATGAGCTGATTACCTTAAATACCAAGCTTTGACCTCTCTCCCTGGGGAGGGTTTAAGATATAAGATAATGTGTCCGTGGGTAGGGCAAGAGATAGTTTCAAAATGCAGAGGGGCCCTCACCGGTGTGGCTCAGTGGATAGAGTGTCGGCTTGGGGACTCAAGGGTCCCAGGTTCGATTCCGGTCAGGGGCATGTACCTTGGTTGCAGGCACATCCCCAGTAGGGAGTGTGCAAGAGGCAGCTGATTGATGTTTTTCTCTCATCCATGTTTCTAACTCTCTATCCCTCTTCCTTCCTCTCTCTAAAAAAAAAAAAAAAAAAAAAAAAAAAAAAAAAATCAATAAAATATATTATAAAAAAAAAAAAAAAAAAAGGAAAAGAAAATGCAGAGGATCCTTGACCTCAGGCCTAGTGACTGACCATCCACTTTTACCTGAGAGCTGGAGCCTGCCCACCCTTAACCCTGGAGCTAGTGGCTGTGGATGCAAGCTGCACTTACTGAGACAGTGACAGAAGGGAGTGGACACTGACCACCCTTCTACCCTGTTTCCCCGAAAATAAGACAGTGTCTTATATTAATTTTTTCTCCCAAAGTTGCGCTAGGTCTTATTTTCAGGGGATGTCTTATCTTTCCATGCGTTAGGTCTTATTTTCGGAGGATGTCTTATTTTCGGGGAAACACGGTAGGTGGGGCCTTTTATCTGGGAAATCATTCAGCCTCTGTTAAGAGATTCAGAAATACCTGTCACTACAGCCATGGGCAGGATGTAAAATTCTGGTCAGGAAGGTTCTCTGCCAGGTACATAGGAAGAGCCTCGGTGAACCTGACATTTCCATGACGTCGCCTCCGTGGGAACACATAGAGGCAGAGGTGATACTTTACATATCATTCCTCTCTCTATTCCTGAATCTATTCCTTTAGAAAACCCCGGCTTATAAACCGGATGTCTAAGTAGATAAAAATGTGGAAAACAATAAAAAGTCACCATGATACGCTACCTGCCTTAAACCATGAATACTTTGTTCTATTTTTGTCAAGTTTCTTCCTGAACTTATTTTGAAAAGTAGGCCCTTTATGGTCATTATTGCAGAGCCTTCTATGGCTGAGTGTATTTGTCTTGCTTTTGTGTTTTGGTGCGTCTTTAAGATCTCAAGAAAACCTAAACCGGTTTGGCTCAGTGGATAGAGCATCAGTCTGCGGACTGAAAGGTCCCGGGTTCGATTCTGATCAAGGGCATGTACCTTGGCTGCGGGCACATCCCCGGTAGGGGGTGTGCAAGAGGCAGCTGGTCGATGTTTCTCTCTCATCGACATTTCTAGCTCTCTCTTCCTCTTCCTTCCTCTCTGTAAAAATCAATAAAATATATATTTTTTTAAAAAGATCTCAAGAAAGATGGTGGACGTTCCTGAAGATAAGGAGAGAGCAAGAGAAGAAACGTCTTCCTTACTTTTAAAAGGAGAACTTTGGAAAATATATAAGGACCAATTAACTCACGCTATCTGAAAAGATCCTAGAGAAAAAAAATCAGCAGATCATCAGCAAACTCCTAAAGGCGTGTGAAAATGCAAGCCATTACTAGCTGGCTGCGAACATCATCTCTCGACAGAAAATCAGGCCAGAGCGAGCGATTTCAAGTACAGTAGGCGCTGATGAGTTCTTCAGATGAACAGGAAGTAATAGATATAATCTGCAGAATTTAGCTGAGCTTTTTGTATTTCGTCTCACACAATCGCCTCCTCAACAAGCTAAATTATTAGCATTAGGAGGGAAGGAGGCCATTTGGAAATTACTTAATGGGGGTTGTAATGTCTCTGCCCCACACGTAGGGTAGGCTGCACAGTAGGAGCACCCAGATACCCTCAGCACATCTAAAGGGCTTGGGCAGGCGGAGCACATTCCCAAAGGCCAAGGATAGAAAGCACTCTTCTTGGAAGTCAGTTTTTAGGAGAAGTGTGTATAGAAGTGAAGTAGGTGAAGCCAATGTTAGTACATGTTACTAGATGAGAGGGCATTCTTAAAATAGCCAGCTAGCCGAAACTGGTTTGGCTCAGTGGATAGAGCGTTGGCCTGTGGACTAAAAGGTCCCGGGTTTGATTCCTGTCAGGGGCATGTACCTTGGTTGCGGGCACCTCCCGGTGGGGGGTGTGCAGGAGGCAGCTGGTTGATGTTTCTCTCTCATCGATGTTTCTAGCTCTCTATTTCTCTCCCTTCCTCTCTGTAAAAAAATCAATAAAATATATATATATTATATTTACATATATATATATTTATTATATATAAATATATATAAAAATTACATATATATTTAAAAATAGCCAGTCAGTTCCCTGAGCGTACGGGAAACATAGTGCTCTGGGCAGTGGAACACAATCATCTTCTCTTTCCCTAAAGCTCCCATTTATTGACCACCTACGACGAGCCAGATGCTTTGCTGGGCACTGTCCTCATCATGGGGTGACTGCCCCCCCTCCCCACCAGGGTAATTTCATGCCGGGTCGGTCTCTCCAGTCGCTCCCCCAGCTCATTCCACAAGGCGCATCGCAGGCGCGGGAGGCACGGTCACTCACCTGGCCGGCCAGGTTGAAGTAGGAGTGGTTGGTCAGGTTCACGGGCGTGGTCTGGCTGGCCTGCGCGCGGTAGTTGATCACGAGCTCCCCACCATCCAGCGTGTATGTCACCCAGACTTTCAACTCCCCGGGGTAGCCTTCCTCACCATCCGGACTGACCCGGGAGAACTGGACGCCGTTCGGCAGCACCTGAGGGGTCCAGAGGACCTAAAAAAACACAAAAAAGATGTGTTTTCAAAGCTGATTAGTCACTCCAATCCCAAGCTAAACGCCACGTTTCACTATTAAAGACAACTGATTCCAGGAAGGGAGACGATGATACAACCCATAAGGTTGAAAATAATAGCCTAGACTTTAGTTATTCTAAAATTCTGTTTTAAACAGAACTGGAGAGAAAATAAATTTTCTCCTTACCTACTCACACTTTTCCTATTCGCTTTCCCCCTGAGTTTATCCATATGTGTCTACAGTATTTTCTTCCCCTACGTTGAGACACTTTTTGTTGTTGAAATCTTAGCAGCACATTCTGAGTGTCTTATAGCGATTTTCTGCTATCTGCTAATAGTATTCAAAATGACCTTGCCCAGCTGGCGTGGTTCAGTGGTTGAACATCCATCTGTGAACCTGGAGGTCACGGGTTCGATTCCCAGTCAGGGCACATGCCCGGGTTGCAGGCTCGGGCCCATGTGAGGGGAATATAGGGGGCACTTTGGCAGACATGATACTGTCATTGTTGAGTGCTCACCAGCCACTAACCTGGTGCTTTTACATAAATCATTTCACAAGGTAAGGGTTTGGTGGGACCAAAAAAATTATCACCTTAGCAGGTCAGAATAGTTGAACAGTGGCAATTTCACATGGTTCCAATTAATATTATTACTCCCATTTTACAGATGAGTAAACTGTGTGAGTTCAGTGGAGTTAACTTGCTCACTTCTACCTCCCACATCCCAGAGGAGTGGAGTAGAAACCTTTAATACTTCATGCCCACTGTTTAAAGTGTGTGTGTGTGTGTGGGGGTGAGGGGTGTCAAGTCATACATGTAATTAGTGACAGAGCTAGGATTCAAATTCAGGGTCTATATTATAACACATCTTGGCTTCAGTGGATGTTTTGTTCAAATCTCTCCGTGAGTATATGATTTTTAAAAAGGAAATAAAGAATTCAAATGAAAAAGAAATATTTATGAGTTGAGGCCAAACGCTGTCATTCCAAATGGACTTGAAAGATAACAGCACTGAGTCATTTGCAGCAACCTGGATAGAACTAGAGAACACCATGCTGAGTGAAATAAGCCAGTCAATGAAAGAGAAATACCACATGACCTCCCTCATTTATGGATATTAAAGAACATTATAAACTGATGAACCAAAAGTCAGATATAAAGACAGTAAAGCAACAAGCAGACTGTCAAAGCGGGGAGGGTAGGGAGATCTGGGGGAGATAAGAGATCAACCGAAGGACTTGTATACATGCATATAAGTACAACCAATGGACACAAAACTCTGGGGAGGGAGGGCATGTATGGGAAGGGGGGGCAATGATATATGTACACAGATAATAATTTAATAAAAAATATTAAAATTAAATTTAAAAAAAAAGATAACAGGACTGAGGAATGGCCATGAGCCCTGGCATTGCTCCTCCTCTCTCCCCCCCCTCCTGGCTGCACCGCTCAGTGACTGCATTTGCCAGGAAGGCGAACCCAGCAGGAACGGAGAACTGCCTTCACCGACGGTGAAAGTAGCTGGTATCTGAATCTCGTTCACTGACCTTAGAAACAAATTAATTCTACACCCTCATTACCTCTCAGGAAGGCTGAATTTTCAAGACACTGAGCACATAAAGCCCGTCATATATGTGATTAAAGAAAGAAAAAAGAAACTCCCAGATGGAAAATTTTAGGAATAAAGAACTTGAAATGTTCTTAATTTGCTACCTTGTTTTTCTCCTTTAGAGAAAGAACACAATGGAAACTTTTTTGTGTGTAAACCAATATGATCAGATAAGTATAATACCGTGGGAAGTATAATTCCTATTTATGGAAGGATTTCCCTGGCCCTATAGTTTCCAAATTTCCAGAAAATTTCCTGATTTGCACCTTTAGGCCTACTTATCCCATTTCCAATCCTGTCAAGTTCTTCACATTTCATCTTCAGAAAACACATACCTCCGAAAGAACAATTATTCCGTAACTGTTGAGATCAAACACAGCTGAAAATAAAGTTCATCTGATACAGCTCATGGTACTAAATCAGAACCTACTGTTCAGCCCTAACCGGTTTGTCTCAGTGGATAGAGCATTGGCCTGAGGACCGAAAGGTATTCAGGTCAAGGGCATGTACCTTGGTTGCAGGCACATCCCCAATGGGAGGTGTGCAGGAGGCAGCTGGTGTTTCTAACTATCCCTCTCCCTTGCTTTCTTTAAAAAATCAATAAAATATATTGGAGGAAAAACAAACAAACCCAAAATCTTTCCATAATAACATTCAGAAACTTTCCATAATAACATTCCAAGTGTTTCCCCACTTCCCTCTGGGCTGTTTGCATGGCCATTCTCTCCAATACAACACAGTGAGTGAAATGCTATCCTTCCTTCAAGAGCAGTTCAAATCCCACCTCCCCCGCTGCTATGCATTTGTCCATCCCCAGTTCCTCTGTCACACCACTGGCGTCTATAGGATGGGCAAATACAGGGTCCTGCTCCCTCACTGTACTGTGAGCCTCAGAAAGCCCCATCCTATGGTGTGCCCTGGTTCACAGAAGGGGCCCAGCAGGCACATTGCATTCAAGAATACGTATACAGGTACCCTCGCCATTCGCTGCGTTCACACAGGGCACACATGCTAAGCAACATGTATGCCCTGTGTACCACTGTGGGGGAGAGGAAACAGGAACAAGCAGGAGCTAGGTGCTGTTCTGAGGCTCCACTCAAGATCTTTAAAAAAAAAAAAAAAAGATCCCTGTCCACCCGGAGCTGGGCCTCACTTCTTGGTTGCGGTGTGCCCACGGACCGGGCATAAGCCAGAGACCCCCTGGCTCTGTGCCTCCTGGCGGGAGGACGCCCATCGCCGAGGAAAAGGGAGCTGGCAGGCAGTCTGGCTCTGAGCCACAGACAGGAAGCTGGCGGGACGGGGGAGCAGGATAACCAACTTCCTTCTCCGGGACAGACGGCGGCCAGGGGCAGAAAGGAAACGGTGGTCCCTAGCTGCACATGTTCCTGTCTTCCCTGGCTCTTCTCTAGGACATCACCTGGGGGAGTATTTGAAAGGCAAGCTGGCTCCCAAAAGATCTCCCTCCCAGCCCGAAATGAGACGTAAGAGAGTCTCAGGGTTGACCAGCAGGCCGCACCCAGCGAGGGGGCAGGGGTCCGGGCGCTTCTGCTCAGGGAGAAGCTGTTGGGCCCATTTGCTTTCCTCTCCTCATTTTTCCTGGTCTCTCTGGGGGAGTGGGAGTTTTATTTTTATTTTAAAATATGTTTTATTGTTTTTTTACAGAGAGGAAGGAGAGAGCTAGAAACGTCGATGAGAGAGAAACATCGACCAGCTGCCTTCTGCACGCCCCTCACTGGGGATGTGCCCGCAACCAATGTACATGCTCTTGACCGGAATCAAACCCGGGACCTTTCTGTTAGCAGACCGACGCTCTATCCACCGAACCACACCGGTTTTGGCAGGGAGTGGGAGTTTTAATGTGGAAAGAGGGAATTGGGGTGAACGGGGGGGGGGGGGGGGTGGTAATTTGGGGGCATGGAAAGTTAGGCCTGCATGCAGCAGAGCTTCCCCACAGACACAGGGGTGCGTGTTGGATTGGGGGCACCCGAAGGGGTGGCCGAGGTGGAAAGCAGCAGTTGTGAAGGAACGAGGGCTCCTGGCCAGGCAGCCGACGTAGGAGTGCATGGCCTTTTGGAGCCTCGGGTTCTCGTGTGGGGATAATAACGGTTCTCTAAGGGTGAGAGATAACACCTGAAAATACCTCGTGCAGTAAGTGGTCAGGTATTATCTCAGTCTTCTTTCCTGCTGTTCTTACAGTCAAGTTGACTCCCTGGTCCAACACCGGGAGGCCGTTCCCCGCCTTCCTAAGTCAAGGCCGTCGCCCTCTCACGGGCAGAGGACTTGGACAAGGGCGGGTCCTGAAACAGCCAGTGCACCTGCTCCTCGAACCACGGGGCGGCCTCTTTCCCGAGTCACCGTCCCGCGCACCTGCTCCAGGGCCTAGGGTTGCGCCTGGGAAGCAGAAGGGATGCCCGCAGGGACTGTGGGAAGTGTGCGCCAGGTGAGGACTCCACCCAGTGCCCCCCGACTCACCTTATCAAACCCTCTGATACCTCCATGCAGACTGTTGGGCCCATTGTTGATGGCCAGCTTATACTCCTTCCCGTCCACGGTGAACGTTCCTTTGGCGATCCGGTTGGCCACCCTGCCCACCACGGCTCCAAAGTAGGGCTGCTTCTGGAGGTACCCTGCAGGGACAGGGGAGGACAGTTTTGTAAACTTCCACCTGAAGGCGAGGCTCACACTGCTGTCCCACCACTCTCTCCTGAGGGCAGCTGCCAAGTAACCACTTGGGCACACCCTCAGGGCAGCACAGAAAAGGGTGTTCTCTACCCATGACCTTCACCCCAGCCATTCCGGGCCTCTGGGCAGCATGGGAAGGGGGAAAGGTGGCACCAGCTGGAGCTAAGACGGGGCCGGCAGCCAGGGGAAGGAAGGCCCATCCTTGCATGAATCTTCGTGCATCAGGCCTCTAGTTATGAATAAGCTTCTATAGACATCCCAGGTGCAGGTTTTTGTGTGGGCATAAGATTTTAGCTCTTTGAGTAAATACCAAGGGGCATGACTGATGGGTCATATGCTTAGAGTATGTTTGGTTTTGTAAGAAACTACTAAACTGTCTCCCAAAGTGGCTATAGCATTCTACACTCCCTTCAGCAATGAATGAGAGTCCCTGTGGCCCCTCATCCTAGCTGCTAGTTGGTGTTGTCCGCGTCTGAGCTTTGGCCATTCTATTAGGTCTTGTTTGACTTTGTGTTTCCCTGATGATATATAATGTGGAGCATTGGCTTGTTTTTCAGGAGCTGCAAAATGCAAAGAAAGCAGAATTTCTGTTCAAAAATCGTTTGGCTGTCTCTACCTCCGACAGCCCAAACCTTAGCCAGAGTACCTTCAAAATTGCTCACTAGTCTCGGTCAAAACCCCCTCACGCTGATTCACTTTCCTTTGGCTTTTTGAGAAAAAACAAACATTAATTGATGAGCGCTTTAAGCTTCCCACATATTTTATATATTTTTCAATGGCTGCTGGTTGTCCCAGATGAATCTCCATGCTATTTCCCTCCTCTCCCCCCCCCCGCCCCCCCCCCCCAGCGCTAATAAAGTGAAATAAAAAGTTCAAGTACTGGGAGGGAAGATATTTGGGGGCAAAGGAAGGAAAGAAGATAAAAATGATTACTTGTTCACCACAGTCAGATACTATCACAGCCAACAGCACATTTAATCATCATTATCCGCTTGTTTCGGGGAGGAAACAGGTCTGGAGAGATTCAATAACTGGCCCAAGGTCACACAGCTCTCAAGGACAAAGCAGGTTTAAACTAGGAATCCTCAATACTCCCATAAGGGCACTCTGGGGCATTTGTAATATTAAACTGCAGCCTCTAAACCGGTCCCCCTTCCTCCAGGGTACCCCCTCTGATGAGCTCAGGTTTTCCAAAAACACTATATTTATTTTTTCTAGTTTTTCCGTAATGGCTCTCATGACAGTAACAGCTGGGTGTGTGGTGGTAAGTGGGGGGAGGATGGAGGGGAAGGAGTTGCCTCGATATTATGGGTAGGTTGTTCGTATCTGTGGCTTCTAGGCCAATGCTCTCATCACAGGTTTGGAAAGAAGTCATAATGATTGCAGGCGGGACATGCAGATGAAAAACAGTTAAAAAATATTTTAAATACCAAAAAAAATGGCAGAAAAACTCACTGGAGGCGTGACTGACTCTCCCAGCCTGTAACAAAAAGACCATGTGATTTCCCTCTTTAGAATTCTACAGAAGAAAGATCTCATTGACCCAAGGAGGAATTGAACTGTTCCGACCTCAGGTCATGGCCATCATCCAAGCAGTTTATGTAATCTGTTCGGGGAAACTGGAGATGGTTCATTCACATCCATCTGGCAGTTACAAAAGGACCACGTTTCATGGAATTACCCACGCTCAGCTCTTCCCGGTGGCTCAGAACCCTGGCTCTGCCACATCTTATTGCTTTAAGTTATTCGCCTCAGTTTGTTTCTTTAACACTTACATACTCGGACATTCTTAGACTATGTAGTGAATGTTACGTCTCCGTCCTATCCCTGTACCCCAGCTATCCAGTGTCTTTGCTTCAGGGCGACCACTGTTGCCGATTTCTTAACATGGGTTTTAATACACTAGAATGGATCCAAATAGTAGCAGAGAGCCATTCCATACGTCTGTTAAGCACAGCTTAGTGATGGGGACACATTGAGAGATTTTACCTTTGTGCAGACATTACTGAATGCACTTACACAAACCCCGATAATATAGCTTACTATACACCTAGGCCAGTGGTCGGCAAACTTCGGCTCGTGAGCCACCTGCGGCTCTTCGGCCACTTGAATGTGGCTCTCCCACAAAATACCACGTGCGGGCAGGTGTGCACGTACAGTGCAATTGAAACTTCGTGGCCCACACACAGAAGTTGGTTTTCGGCTCTCAGAAGAAATTTCAATCATTGTACTGTTGATATTGGGCTCTGTTGACTAAGGAGTTTGCCAACCACTGACCTAGGCTATATGGTTGGTATACTACTGTCGTGTGGTCCAACCTTGACTGAAATATTGTTATGCAGCCATAACTGGATTCTGATTGAGACAATTATACTTCCTGTTGTGAAGTCTTCCTTATTGTTGGCAATACTAAAAGAATACACACACACACACACACACACACACACACACACACACACGGAAGGACAGGGCCTTAGGAAGGGAACAGGAGGCTGTCTGCATAACCTTGAAGATGGCTGGATACATTAGAAAGTATTGCTTGATATTCTCAGGGCTTTTTTCCAACTTCTCTTTTGAAAACAGCTTGACTTTCAACATAAATTATTTAAATGACAGCATAGAAATAAAAATGTCTCTTGCTGCTTTTTGTGAAGCCTGTGACGCATGCAGGTTAAGACAATTCTATTTAATAACATGGAGGGCAATACAATACAATCCAGGGGATCAGGTGTGGGTTTTTTTCCTCCCTTTTAAGAACAATTAGGAATATTTTCTTTTTACTCAGACTCCCACGAGTCATAGACCCATGGAGACAGTTATATAAAAGCCCTCACAAAATCAGCACTTCTATGCCAGCACATCCCCGGTGTCAGGTCAACGTGACACATATTTCATATGAATCCCAGAAAGCCACCTTGTGTGTTAAGATCCATGTGACTCACATCAGAACTAAAAATGGTATAAACTCTGTGTGTGTGTGTGTGTGTGTGTGTGTGTGTGGAGGGAGGGTAGTGACTTCCTGAATAGTGATAAGGCTGAGATAGAAATGAGATGATAAAAACAGGTGCTCTTAGCTTATCGGCTCCAGTGCTTTACTGGTTCTGCAACTGTAAGCCAAGTACCCAATTCTTTGACTCCATGGGCAATTTCGCACCAGTCAAGTAAGCTTTTTATGGTTTGTTTCAGCCTGGAAAATGGTTATGCTATAGTGACAGAGAGGGGTGACTCAGCAAAATGAGGAATCCTTTTTGGTCATTTGTCAACCGTACCTCTTGCCTTCTGACTTTGAAGACAGATGTGAACACCACCTCCAGAAATTCAAGGGAATCACGGAGCTGATTTCCCCCACATCCCTGTTCTTTCCTTTGCTTGAGTCTCCTGGGATAGATCTGCGGGAGGATGACGTCCCCCGTCCCCAAACCAAGCCGTAGAAGCTCCAACGCAGATAAAGACAACCAGAGGGCAAGGAATAGGATCCTCAGGGATTTTCTTAGAACACATTTTGATAAGGAAATGGGAAGCAAATTCCAGTCTCCTAAGGGAAACCCAATACTCTCTCAAGAGTTTTCTGTTGACATCACATCTAAAGAACCGGGCGGAAAGACACACCTACAAGAAAACCTCAAACCTCCTCGCTAAGCAGATTTTGTTTCCACCTCTACCACGGCAGAGGACAACTCTCAACAGTGTCCCTTTGCCAACTTTATTTCAGACCTCATTTTCCTGTCCAGTCGTACCCCCGCTACCAAGAGAACACGATGCATGCTTTCCTTTATTGCCATCGAACTGCAGTTGTAATTATTTATTTATGCCATTATTTGGCAAATGTCCCCAGCTAAACTAAAGGCTCTATGAGGGTGGGGACCTCGTCTGTCTCATTGGATGAGGTAACTGAATTAACAGTTTTTAAATGCATGAATCCATGTAGTAATATATGATTACATATTAAATAATTTATATATATATATATATATATATATATATATATATATATCACTGATTCCTTACAGAGAGGGAGAGGGACAGAGAGTTAGAAACATCGATGAGAGAGAAACATGTGCCTCCTGCACACTTCCCACTGGGGATGTGCCTGCAACCAAGGCACAGGCCCTTGACTGGGATCGAACCTGGGACCCTCCAGTCCGCAGGCCTACGCTCCATCCACTGAGCCAAACCGGTTAGGGCAGTAATATATAATCTTAATTGCGCATGGATTCTAACCGGATAAAAGTCCACCCTAGCTAGAAGAAAACCTCATTTCTAGAGTAGGCCTCCCACCTTCCCTTCTGTGCATGGTCCTTGAGCAGCCAGGGCCTGCTGGGCACTAACCCCACCAGACCAAAGTGGATAAGCTGTCTGCATCCCCTGGGTATTTCTGAGACAACCACGCCTCCAAGAGAATCTGATCCAGAAAAAAGTTAGCAGAAAACGCACGTCTTTGCTTTTCCTCGTTGAGAAAGGGCAAGAGGGAGGAGCTGGGAGCCACACCCCCTCCAGCCTGCCTTTTCCTCCTCAGCTGTGTTATGCCTCCTCAGGGCCGGTTCAAAGATCGCTCCAGGGCGGCTGGAAAGTTCTCTTCCCTTACCCTCCACTGACTTTTTAAATCAATCGAGGCAAAGCCTGAATGGATAAGCAGAGGCCAACTCCTATAGTTGTTCATTCTGTCTTTTTCCGAGCACTGGCTTCAACACGGGGAGTTAGCAGGATCCAAGCTTTCCTGACCCGCCCGTCTCAAGCTCAGGTCCTTCCCCTCGGGGTCCCTGCTCCTGCCGTATGCGGGGTGGGCCTGAGGCCCGCCTGCAACCGGGGGCAGAGTTTTCACCCACCTTCCAGCTCGGCAAAGCCCAGCACTACATCCGAGGCTCTGCCCTGCCTGTCTTTGACCTCCAGGGCGGAGATGGTGCAACCCCAGGAGAGGATGTCCACTCCCAGCAGGTCCGACTGCAGCCGGAACTTCTCCACTGTCCCTGCCCCTGAGGGCAGCTCTCCAAACACGGATCTGGTCACCGACACCATGGGGAAGGCTCAGGCTGTGCGCAGGGACTCCTCTGCTCTTCCAACTCCTGCAGCCAAACTGGGAGCGGCAGAAGTTTACTGGGAAAGGGCTGGGACACTGCTCAAACTCCTCCCCTTCCTGGCCTGGATTGGGGAGTGACCACTCCTGCAAAAAAAATACCCCCTACGGCCTGTCTAATCACTTCTTTGCCCAAAGGTCACTGAAATGCAAAATTTCCAACGGTGCTTTGGGTTCTTTTCCTTTGCTAACGGTGGCTGCGTTGCATGCTGGGAAAGGTAGTCTTTGGAAGGTGACATTGCACTTTGGGGCTTGTAGTCTCTTTCGAAACCCAATCCCGAACCTACAGGATTCTACCTGGGGCCTCAGGCCCAACGTTCTTAACGTGCAGAATGCTGGTGGTTGACTTTCAGACTAAATGCTGGAAAACGCAACGAGCAGAATTAGGGACGTTGAAAGCGATCTTGCGGGGAAATTCCAGTTTTAAGTTAACGCTTTGATCCCGAGGGGAAAGAAGTAGAGGGGTTGTTCAGAGAAGGGCTAATGCAGGCTTCGTGGCACACTGCACATTCTGTTTGTCCCCCAGGGAGAAGCTCTGGACATGTTTCTGCTGGAGCTGTTGCCCCAAGGCCCTCCTGACTTTCGGCCTGGAGTGGCCGCCTGGGACAGGGTCATTCCTGGGGGGTCAGGTGTGCACAGGAGTGAGGAGAAGCAACCTCCCACTTTCTTCTGAAGTTCGGAGTCCCTTTAAGAAGGCATTAAAGAAAAAGAAAAAAAGGAATAAGGCATTAAGGAAACAAATATTTAATAAGGTCCTTATAAATATTTGATACTGCACTTTTATTATCTCCTTTGCACAAGTGGAAAAAGGCTTTAACGATATACTGCCAGGTGAGGTCGTTAAAGAATTGTCATGCTTTAGTACACCTCGGAATTATTGAGTGCACTTGAGATTTTAAAGTGCATGTTCCCAGGCCCATCCCCGGTGTTTCTGAACCTGTAAGTCTAGGCTGAGCTCAGGAATTTGCCTTTTTTCACAGTTCCCCAGGTTATTCTCATTCAGGTCCTCTGGAACCAAGCTTTGAGGAAAATCGCTGTAAGTTCAGGTGACTGATTTCAGGCTCTGGTGGCAGAAAACTAAGACAGAGCTACGAAAGGCCTTAACAGGATTGTCAGATAAAATACCGGGCCCTGTGGATGCGTTTCTTTGTTGAATCTGGCGATGCTAGACAGGACTGGGCCTAGGAAGGAAGGATGCAGGAAGCCTGAAAGCTTGCTTTATTTAACTGTTTGCACACTCATCTCATCTTTGCTTGCTGCTGCTTTTGATTTGGTTCCTAGGTACTCCAGAGAGGATCGAACGAGGCTCGGATGAGTGCCAAAAGCATCTACGATTAAGAAGTTAGGAAGATTGGGATCGTGTTTCTGGAATCAGATGCTAATAAAATATAACTGTCTCTTAGCCCTTTCTGTCTGTGTAGTTGGAAGGAATATTTAGCATTCTTGCCACTAAGCCTTAATGCTCATTCATGAAGCAGAGGAATCCTGATAGCAAAGGAAAATGAGAGCTTGCAGCAGGCTTTGGTGAAGCATAACACATAATAACAAAAAGACACGAATCAAATTACAGACTGTACCGCACAGACAATAACCGATGAGCACTCATGTGTGTGGCTTCATCTGAAATCCTCATGAACGCTGTAGCCCTCACCAGCCCACTCGGCATTTATGGCTGACTCATACCCAAGCCCTGTGGCTATGCCGTGTTAGCAAGGATGTCTTAGGATCTCTTCCGTGAGCAGGAAGACTGCATTTTCTTTTCTTAGCCTCTGGTTCTCAATGTTCTGCCAGGCTCATGTTGTCACTGGAAAGAAATGCATTTAATGGCCAAACTCAAATGTCACTACAGGAGACCTTGTAGCTTGACTTAGTAAAAAATGAAACATACCATGATGTCTCTCTAAGATGTAAAAAGTACACACACACACACACACACACACACACACACACACACACACACTGATTTCAGAGAGGAAGGGAGAAGGAGAGAGAGACAGAAGCATCAATGATGAGAGAAAATCACTGATTGGCTGCCTCCTACATGTCCCATACTGGGGATTGAGCCAGCAACCCAGGCATATGCCCTTGACCGGAATTGAACCCAGAACCCCTTCAGTTCACAAAGCTGATGCTCTATCCACTGAGTCAAACCAGCTTGGGCACACTTATTAATTTCATTGTCCTTTTGCTTTTAAGGATTTGACAGATAGAGCCAAATAGGACTACCTTGTGCTAAGGCAGGTGCCAGGCACAACCCTTGATTTTTCTTACCAGGATATCTCATTTCCCTAGTCTCACAGTCATACTCTAAAGAAATATTAATGCACTTAAAAAAGTAAGAAATCTAAGGAAATATTCTCCATCTCCAAGGTTGGATTAGATCAGAAACAAGGTAGTAATCTGGCAAAGAAAGCGTTGTCAAATTCTAGGGGGTATTTATTTTTATTTTGAAGATAGGGACTAAGAGGAAGGTTATAAGGAATTGTGACACTTATGTCAATGAGGAGTTACTTAGAGTTACCTTTTCTTTCTTTCTTTTTAAAAATATATTTTATTGATTTTTTACAGAGAGGAAGAGAGAGGGATAGAGAGTTAGAAACATCCATAAGAGAGAATCATTGATCAGCTGCTTCTTGCACACCCTCTACTGGGGATGTGCCCGCAACCAAGGTACATGCCCTTGACCGGAATCGAACCCAGGACCCTTTTAGTCCATAGGCCGACGCTCTATCCACTGAGCCAAACCGGTTTCGACGAGTTACCTTTTCTTTCAACCAATGATGAGTGAACTGGTAAAGAATAAGATCTGTCCCTGTTCTCAGCTGCAGGTCAGTCCCCTAAGTTGAGTGCTGGGGGGCCAGAAATAAGGAAATCTGAGCCCTGACACTAGGCTCCACCCCCTTAATTGTACACAAAAACTTCATGTGCCTGGGACCTGTCAGACTCTGGGCCCCTGAGGAAGGCTGGCTCCAAAGCCTTAAGCTGTTGACAGGCTGCTACTAAGCAGAGGAAACTCTGAGATATAGCAACAAAAACAACTGGCAACACGTCAGAGTTTGTCTATGAAGAGATCTAGAATAGATTCTTTTCGATTGGTTAGCACATCACCACCTTCCTGTTTTTTCTCTCATGGCTGTGAACTCCATTAGTGTTTATTGCCAGTGCTCTTCATTGGGCACCCAGCATGCACTGCCTGAGATCATTGCTTATCTTTCCATGAGTACATTTTGTTGTTGCAACTGTTGACTCAACGATTGGCTAGCTGACTCAATATTTTGACTTTTTCTTTTCTTTCTTAACCCAACCATCAGTATACTTGGTTTCAGATGGAAACTACTTGTACCTGGAAAACAGGAATACTGGGAGAATCCCATCAAGTTCATGAGAGGTAGAATTCTTCACAATCAATTCAGCTCTGTTTCATTAACAATTTTGGAGCAGCTGCTGGGGAGGCATTCTGGGGGCAGGTGAGAAGCTATTGAGGAAGATAGATGAAATTTAGCTTCATGACATGTTGCTCATTTGTCAAATATTCAACAAGTATGTGCCAGGCATTGTGCTAAGTGCCAGTTATATATTGATAAGTAAAACACGATTATTGCCTTTCAAGGAATTAACAGTCTAATATGATAAATGCTCATCTTTTCTGATACAGAAATGGAGATTTAGAGAGATTCAGCAACTTGTTCAAGGTCACATGGTCAGTAAGTCAGGAAACCAAGATTTGATCCGAGGCAGCTTGACTGCAGAGATAGGAACATTTCGCCACTTCTTTATATGTTGCCTACTATTGAGGTCATCTCTGTAAATTCTAACACATTACCCCAGTGTAAAATGTTCATCTTCTAATTTTTTTTATTAAATTATTATCTGTGTATATATTTTAACATTGCCTCTCCCTCCCATACATACCCTCCCTCCCCAGAGTTTTGTGACCATTGGTTGAACTTATATGCATGTATTATGGTAATTACGAGTTTTTTGTTTTTTTTTTTTAATCAGCTTCTTGAATTAGGCATGGCTGGATCTGGGCCAAAATTGTGTCAGTAAATCTTGGGATTTATCTCTTCCTGATCCAGTTTTCCACGGTGATGGCACTATTTTCAGGACTATTCTTTCTCCTTATGATTTCTAGCTTATGTTATTCACAATTACAATGTCAGTAAAAACAACAAAAGTCCCCTCATGAAGTCACTTGATTATGGGCCCTTCTGAACCAAGTAACTGATATAATTGTCAGCTTCACTCAACACTGTGGACCGAGAGAGTGGGGAGAGGGGACTCCCTAAGGGAAAATCTAGATTCTATTCCCAAAGAGAGAATGTATGCTAACCAGGCAAAAGCAACAAGCACCCACTGAAAAGAGTAACGGAGCTAATTTCATCAGAGTGTTCACACATCTAGATTATTTCAACACAGAGAAATACCTGTGTCTCAAAAGAGCTTTCAACATTTTGTCAGTGGTTCAGCAGCAGGTGTTGCCACATCCTCACTTCTATTTCTGTTTTATCTTTGTCTGCCTGGGTTCCCGGGCTTATGTGGTAGTGATGCAACCCTGCTTGAACCTTTCTGCACATTTTCACCTACCTTGCTGTTTTTCAAAGGACAGATTCAACCTATCCAGAAGCAGATTCATCCCCATACCTATCTAAAGACAGGTCAGGGAATTGCTCTCTAAGATTATCCTTATAATATGAAATCTTGTATCAAAAAGTATAGGTGAGCCTGGCTGGCATGGCTCAGTGATTGAGCATCAACCTATGAAATAGGAGGTCAGGACACATGCTGAGGTTGAGGGCTTGATCACCAGTATCTGGCATGCAGGAGGCAGTCGATCAACTATTCTCTCTCATCATTGATGTTTCTCCCTCTCTCTTCCTCTCTGAAATAAATAAAAACATTTTTTTAAAAAAAAGTATAGGTGAATATAATTCTTGGCAGA